AACATATTTGCACACAGAAACACTCAAGCGTGTATCATTAAACCAAAGGCTATGGCTCTTTGTAAGGGACGTGTGGATGTTTGGGGGGGGGGGGGTAATCATAACTCAACCTAATATTTAATCCCTGTCAGGCAAAAACATTTAGCTGCTAAATATTCATGAAGATGCTGAAGTCACGTTGCCTATTGTGGTCATTTGTTTTTCTCTTTCTCTCACAAGTCAAGCAGGCCTTCTCAAACTTTATTCCACTAGCTTGCGTTAAAGTTTTATAGCTGGGTTTTATTTATGAGATTATAAAGGTCAGGCTAACATTTATTAGAGGACGTTTACATTACAAAGGAAACGATGGAGCAGGATACAAATGCCGGGAGAATAAAAGATACCTTTTCACAAACATTGTGGGAAGGAAAATGCCTCGGAATGTAATATTACTCAAAAAAAAAAAAAAAGAACTATCCGGAAAGTGCATAAAAAAAACCTTATACAGTGGTACCTCGGTTGTCGAATTTAATCCGTTCCGGACTCCGGATCGAATCCTAAAAAGTTCGAGTTCTGATCCAATTTTTCCCATAAGAAATAATGGAAAACCAATTAATTGGTTCCCGGCCCCCCAAAATTACACCTAAATATGTTTTTTTAAACACAAAATGAACAGGATAAAACAAGAAGAGCATTTTTTTCTTAATGGCTTCCAAAACGATAAAGATCTTATCCCAACATTACCCCTGTCCTGCCCCGATTGTCCGCTTCTTCCGTGTGCCACGCCCCCTCATTAACCTCGTGTGGGATCCCCATGTGATCACCTGTTTCTGGTTGTTGTCATTAGTCCCCTGTATTAAGTCCGCGTTTCAGTTTGTATCCCCAGTCCGGTCATTGGGTGCGTTCGACTTGCTTACAGCACTGGCTTAAAGCAACGCATTCTGAATCTGATCCTGACGCAATGCATTACGGTTAGATGCATTGCGACCTCTCGCCCGGCTGCACGAACTGGAACCGCCTCCGTGACGACACACCTTTGCCCTTATTGGCTGAAGAGTTTAGTTACACGCATGACATTTGTATCCCAGGCAGTTCCGATGCGTAATATGCTATTTCTCCCGAATATCACGTAAAGCAGTGAGAACTGGTTTTCAGCGTTCACGGTTCGACTTCTGATATTCCGATCGATTTCTAGGTCAAACTGGTTTGTTCGACTTAAGAAATTCGAGTTCTAGTGAGTTCGAAAACCGAGGTACCACTGTAAAATGTATTTATTTTATTGCATGGTATTTTTATAATGATAATGCTAAGACAGATAATATAGACATATAGAATATGACTTGTAAAGGCTATTAATAAACGATTTACTTCAATTGCCTTCATAATATCATAAATGCATTGTTTATGATGGGTTTTTAAAGTATATTCTTGCAAGTCCACCTACTCCATCTCAGTTTACAACAAAGGGTGATATACTGTTATAATGTGTTATGATATATTTATGACATGTTATGATACTCACATGACGACAGGCAGCTAAATACCTGTGCTTACCTTTGTTTGATTTGTAGTTCCTGTATGTATGGTTTAGTATTAATATGATACATGTAACCTCACATCGTTAATAGCCATTCATTAACGTCATACACATTTGTTACCATTACACATCTCATTGTAAAAACTTTTTATGAGGTCATTTCCCCTGCCCCTCCTGTCATTGGTCAGATGACAGCGGCCCCTCCCGCCAGCGTGAAAGCAGCAGAGTCCCCCTCCCCAGAGAGCTCCTTAGGCCGACTTCCACCTGCCGTAGTCCAGTTGAGGTGACGTATTACCACAACCAGCTAGAGCCGGTTACAGATTATGGTCAACGACGGTAACTGCAAAGTATGGAAACGTGGCGAATAAAAAACTGATTTAGGCTTGATTTTTAAATCGACAACTTCTAAATAAGTTGGAGAGTTATAAGCCTTGGCTGAAGTCCAGCCTCAGAGAGACGTACACCACTAGTAAGGAAACTAAGGTCTGATTTATCCTTCGTGTGTTTCCTGATATATTAATTATCGGCTCGGTTACAGCGCAATAGGCTAAGCACACCACGCATGCGCAGTCTGTCATAAACGACGTAATGAACATGTATTTACGCAATTAACTGGAGATTAATCAATTCTTAACGATTTTCATTAATTCTTTGCCCCAGTGGAATGTGTCCAGTTAACTATTTAAGGTTGTAATTAGTGCTGTGTAATTTGCATTATGGGTTACTTCCACTATAAATAATTACCCATTTGATTAATGTTTTAATAGTTTTCTTTTTTTTTTTCCCTGGGAAGTGAAATGTATTATAATCCATTTTGTAAATGCGCTTGTACTTTGTGATCCGATGCCCGAAAAAAATCCGTTTTTTTTACAGAAGCACTGTAACGCAATGAAAAATACATTTTAAAAAAAATTGAGGCACTGCCCCTCCAACAAAGTTAAGAAATTTACTATCGAAGGTGTAAAATGCGATTAGCCATGTTAGTCTTCAGCGAATACGTTTGATCTATCACTAAAACTTCTTGTCCCTTTCCAGAGGATAAACTGTCACATGACCATCACTTCGACCACGAGGCTTCAGGATGCTGACCGAACGAGAGGCTGCCTCTCCGGACCAGGGCTATTTCCCCTTAATAAGTAAAATGGTCGCTCAGAACCCCCAACCATTCTTTTCCCGCCGGTAATTTCCATGGAATACCCATCGTGGAGTTTTATTACAGCCCCGCTTTTCACATTTAGACGGAAATATATCTGCCCCGCTTAACACGTGTAAAAAATGCTCGCGAAACGCAAATGAAAAAACAAGGGGAAATTGAAGATTTCATTTGCACGGGCATAGTCATTAGTATTTTTTTCCATCGGGACTTCACGGACAGCAGTAGATTTATACCGAAGTGTCGAAATGCCACTTTGTAACATTTCCGTAGCTGATCTATGAATGCATTAAAAATCCGTGCGGAAAGAAATGTGCATTTTCTATAATCATCAGGGACGTCCACTTCCGTTTAAATCTCTTAATGTCGCTATGTTCTGCATCTGGGGTGACTATCATACTATTTGGTTAAACGTGTAAAAAATGCATTTGATGTAAATCTTATTTTTAATTCAAACAAAAATCCCAGCTCAGAGCGCTGTCACGTTGGGGAAATGATGAGATGAATTAGAGAACCATTCGTGAAATGCTTTTGATTTTCAGATGCAGCTGAACATAATTGCTTTCATTCCCTGACGTCTCGTGGGTTTCATTTCACGTGTCTACTATAATAGAATACCCATTTTTTTCAGCACATTATATCTAAGAACATTTTTTGTGCATGCATCATTAAGATTTACTATTAAATTATTATTCCCGTTTACTAAATAGCAAGGTATAATTACCTCGGTTGAAAAATTAAAGGGCAGACAGTAGATTGACGTTTTCCCATTGTGTTTTATTTATGCTAATATAGGAGAGGTTGTGTCTTCATGCAGTCAATGTAAATGTACAGTTTTGTTTTGAATTAGATTTGTAAGACGTTTCTTTCAGACCTCTTTCGAAAATGTTTTGGTCGTTCATTTTCATTCCAGAAAACGTTATTAAATGAACATATACTTTTAAACTTATACTTGTGATTTTTTTGCATATTAGGCAGTCGTTTAATAGCACTGTTATGCTGTGATGTCTGTACTACAGTTCTCTTCCATTTAAATATGCAGCAATAAGGCATTGTTACTCAGTTTTACGTAAATTTACCGTTAGGGTCATAGTGTTTAACGTCACGGCAAATATTCACACACTTGGATCATGCACAGGTCAATAATTTACTTTAATGTTTGAATCATGCGGGTAAAGAGGCTTGTAAAGAACCAAGGGAGATCACAAAAACCAAACGCATACAGTTTCTCTCCCTGAACTAGGAATAGTGATATTTCAGGTAGCCTACTTAAACGTAATACTCTTGATACAAATAAAACATAATTTGGCATTTTTTCCACCTCTGACAGGAAGCTCGGGACCAAAACCTTAGGTTTTGTACATGCTGGCTTTTGAAATGAGTCTAAAATCGAACACAAAAAGATTGCCGAATTATTTTTTTAATTCATTAAAATACCAAGTTCGCGCAGCAGATGGCGCAATAGACCAGAGAGGACAGTCCTCTGAAAAGTACTAATTTCAAGTCACAAATCACGTAGTAAGTTTGTATTAGTTGCGTTCATTAATTAACAGGGGATTACTGTTTTTAATTGCAATCGAGTACTACCACAACTTTGTAGCAGATATAAAGATGGTGGAACATAATTCTGAAGTTTTACCGGCTTTTCCGATTCTGTTTACTGTATATTACAGTGGAAATATAATAAAATGTCATTCTTTTTTAAATTAAAAAAAATCTAGTCATCTCTGGCCAACAGATTGTAAGCAAAATTATTCTGCTATATAATGTAAGTAAAATTCAATTTGAGTACCCCAAAATATCTACAAAGATAAGCAGTTAACGTTGAACAAATTCGTTTCGTACACAATTTTTTAAACTACCAGTCACAGCGGTAGCCTGCAGTTTGAAATATACACGGTTACTTACCATTATTGTTTGCTTTAAATTTGGAGGAAAAGGGAAAAATCATTTAATTAAATTGAATATCTTTATTGTCATTGCACGTGTGCGACGAAATTGGATACCAACAAACAGCAAGGAATAAAACTATAAAGATATATACATATAAAAAGATATAAAAACATCAATTTAAATCTAAGATGAACTCTGGCGACACCCGAATCGCGCTGCTAGCGTGAGCTGCTCGGCTGGGGGCGTGTCTAGAATCCGGCTCTATGATAGGCTTAAACGCGAAGGCGGGGTCGCGAACCCGGAAGTGCCGGGGTGTCTCTGGTCGAGAAGTACCGATTATAAACTAATATATTTCTGTGCAGTGGGACGGTCATGGCCTGTGGCGGGGGTCTGCTGAGATGGGCTCGAATGGTGAATTTTGGCTTGTCTGTGAGTAAACTCCCCACAGAAAGATAAAATGGCCGTGCGTGGGGTTTATTTCAGCCAAATACCAAACAGCAGCTTGCTGTAGATTATACTCAGTAAAGGGTATTTATGTTTCTTGCGGAGTGGTAATGAAAAACGCATGAGGATTTTATTGTATAATTGTGCCTAAATCCCTTTCGCAGTTAGCTTTGAGAGCTTATTAAAATTGCTTGATTATCTTGAGTTTTTGTTAAGCTGTCGATTGGTCTTGTAGACGTGTTGGAAGTGTTCTAAGTCAAAATCGCGCGAATTATTTTATTCCATTGTATTAAGATTTTTGTCTCTAATGCAGCTAGATAAGTGCTGAAACTAGGTCATATAAAATTACAGTTTGACGTTAACGCTTCAAAAAGTGCTCGAGACGCCAGCGGGCTGAAGTGAGTAACTTGAAAGCTTACCTTGCGCAAGTGGGGTAGATCCGCCGCCACGTTACGCCAAGTAATTTTAAATCGATGTTGCAACTGATCTTGTGTCTGACACATCCTACGTGAAATGATGATATTTGTAAAACCTCTGTTTGATTAGGCCAGGCTGTTACAGCTAGATAAGCGCCAGCGAACCTGCGCTGTGACTGCCGGTATAAACTGGAAAGGCCTGTCCAGCAAACCCCCAGAAAGCATCAGCAGGTATCCCATTCCCTACAAGAAGGACCTACCTTACGACATCGTCGAGCTGATGGAGGAGGTGGAGACAAAGGTAGCAAATTGCCGCCTTTCAAGTAGTGGTTCTCAAAGTGCCAAAAATACCTTACAAAAATGTTACTTTTGTAGTAAAGTAGTATTTCTGTGTATCCCGGCAGTTTGTGTTGTCCTGATTCATTTTCATATTCACAGTTAAGGTCAAGGGGAAATCTATGCCGGATTTCTATGCTGGCTCTGTTGCATATCAGTAGTCTGTGATTATTTCTCCATCTGTCTGTTTAATGTGCGGGTGGCGCAGTGATGCAGTGGGTAATGCAGTGGGTAATGCAGTAGCCAGGGACTGACACCCGTATCTTATAATATGGCACCGTACTGTATAATACGGGACGCAGCAGTTTATTTTCCAATGCGGGGCGATCCTGTATTATAAGGGACAGGAGGTGACCCCCTCCGTAGACTCTGACCTCCAGGGCCGTGGGTATGAAATCCAGCCCCCCCACCCCCCCCCCCCTCTCTCTCTGTGGAGTTTGCATGTTCTCCCTTTGTTCACTAGAGTTTGTCCAAATACCTCTGTGTGCTGCTGGTGATAGATGCCACCCGCACCCGCTTTATTAGCTGATTACTGATTAAAAGAGCTCTATTATGCTCATTTTCACTGTTCATAATTTTATTTTGGGGATCAGTGTTCCAGAAACCTCTTGTAGGAGCCATATTTGTATGTCACATGGGTGTGGTGGAGGGTAAATTACTTGTTCACAGATGTTCGCTAATGTGGTGTAGGTGAGCAGGGACTCGAAACTTGTCTGTTAACAGTGTTATATGTGTTAATTTGGTGTACTTACTCATTCACGTAAACACATGCGGGCACTGGTCTTAGTGCGACTGGTGCACATTTTTGTGTATTGTAATTGGAGGACAACTGAAAAGTTAGTTTTAATAAATCAAGTGAACACTATTAATGAGTAAGTTTCCTCCATACAGGAAAACACACAGCAAGCAAACTCTCCCTGCATCAATGGCACTGCTATAGGAGTAGCATTTGGTATACCTCTATTCACTCTGTCTATAACTCTGTCTGAAATGCTCTGTTAGAGCTTTAAGCCCCACCCCCACTGAGGCCAGTGTGCTCTGATTGGTCAGTTAGCCTGATTGGTCAGCTTGCTCTACACATTCTACTCCTGTCTTGCAGTCTGCAGACAGATCCTTGCAGGTAGGCGGCCAATAAGGATTATGTTATGAGGTGACCTCACCATGTCACGGAAGTAAGGGCCGGAATTCCAACAAGGTGTTTTAGGCATATTAGAGAAGGATGGTTTCTGTGGTGAGAGTTACTCTTTGGCGTGGACTTAGGGCCTTAAGACTTTGCAGACCGTTTACATGCACATAAAGCTATATAACACACTAAAGGAAAGGAAGAAAACAGGAAAGCATCATAGGGCCCCGTTAAAAGGTGGATCGGATGAAGTGTAATACACATAGGTCCAGTGACTTAACAAGTAGTGTTGTGCTGACGATGCCAAAGGTTGTGGGTTCGAGTCCTAGAGGGTAGGGATAAACCCCAACCATTCCCTCTGCTGTAAGTCGCTTTGGATAAAAGCATCAGGTAAAATGTAATTTGTGAAAATGTAATAATACAATTTTGACTTTATTCCTCTTCCAGGGAGGTTTCCTGCCCAATGTTTTCAAGGTGCTGGCACACCGGCCCTCGGAGTTCCGCGCTTTCTTTGCTTATTACAACGCACTGATGAACAAAGACACAGGTGGGATGTCTTCCTTGTGTTTTGGGAACTGTTTTGTTTTATAATACGCCCCTCCCATCCCATATATGCCTGTACTGCCACTTATAGAGAAGGAACTTCAGTTCCTGGATGTTTAAAGCCAACCTGCAAATGTGTTAATAATTCTAACGTAAATTAAAATATCAAGGCTTGTTGGCCTTGTGCCCTGTGATGGACTGGCATCCCGTTTCCATCCTGTCTGGTTTTTTTTTGTGTCTTGTCATCGCATGACCTTTCGCACCCCCTTGCCAGGCCGGCTGACGAAGGCGGACCGGGAGCTGATCGTGGTGGCCAGCAGCATTCACAACCGCTGCCTGTATTGTGTGGTTTCCCACAGTGCACTGCACCGCATCTACTCCAAGAACCCCACCCTGGCTGACCAGGTGACTCCCTGCGCCTTTAAGTCAGGCAGGGGTGCAGTGATGGCACATGTGACCGGCACATGTGACCAGCTCAGTGCACAGAAAGGCCAGGATCTCCCTGGGTCTCAGTGTCCCTCTTTAGTTCTAGTGTCTCCCATTCAGTCCGGATTTTACTTATGTGCTTCTTACTCTCTAGGGAGGCAGTAAGAGTAAAAGCTGAGTATGTAGGGGTGCTGAACGGTAGAAGTGTCACCCAGCCTTTGTCCCTTTTTCATTCCTTGTCTCCACAATGACACCTTTGCGATCGTTCCGACCCTCTAGCCCAGAGGTTTGCAAGCACATCTCACTAATACCTAAAGGAGGATGCCCGCCCCCACAGCTGGAGAAGTCTTACGTATTCGTTGAAAGTCCCCCCAGTCCTTGTGACTACAGGCTGTTCTGATGTGGGGGGAAGGGGGGCTGTTTTTGAGGTTGTAGCCAATCGTCTCCCACCGGCAGGTGATCGTGAACTACGAGACGGCGGAGCTTGACCCCCGCCAGCACGCCATGCTGGACTTTGCCCTGGCCGTGTGCCGCTCCGACACCATCACCGACGAGGACTTCCAGCGGCTGGAGGCCCACGGCTTCGACCGCGAAGACGCCTGGGACATCGGCGCCATCGCCGCCTTCTTCGCCATGTCCAACCGGCTGGCTCACGTCACCGGCATGCGGCCCAACGCCGAGTTCTATGGCATGGGCCGGACGCCGCGGGACAAGGCCCAGAGCGGCCAGGAGGACTCCGCGTAGCTAGCAGTGCCGTATGCGGATTCACACCACGCTGGGGGACTTTGGGTTCGGTCCCGATCCAGTTTACATGTAAACTCCGCGCGATGGCCTTGATTTGAATGTAGATCCGACTTGCTTGAAATTAGCAATGATCCGGCTTGGTGCCGAGTTTTTCCCAGCCAAGGATGACCTGAGAGTATGAAGATACTTGCTGGCCTTAGAATTTACTGTAGAAAGTGTTTGTGTCTCCATAATACTGTAGATTACTTTAAGATTGTAATATGTAACATACAGTATGTAATATATCAGAAATGCTAATTTTTAATGACAAAGTATATGGAAATTTAGTAATTTTGTACACTTTGAAGTTAAACGTCACCGTGATGCTATAATTTTATTCTGGTGAGATTAAAAGTGAAGTATCTGAGTGTGATTTGAGTAAAAGTTACAGTTTGTCCTCTTTAATTCTGTAAGATGACTGATATTCTCTCACACTCCTTTCTTTTCTTTTTTTTGTCTAAGGAGACGCTATGCACTATTTATATGTAAAGTAACACCAGTTTTGTTAATTTAAATATATTGTTAAATAAATATGATCTTTGCAAGTTTCTTTTTTTTTTGTATCTGTAAATCATTTTCACGCTGACTTTTCTGTGGCAATGAACATTTCAGCATTTCAGACAAAATACCGAAAATAAATCTTCCCCCTGGGAAATCCGTGTAGATCTCTGAAGATCCAGCCTCATCCTTGAAGCTGGACTCGGCTCCCTGAGACATATGCGTACTTCACCGTACTTGTGCTCTCATGTACCCGTTTTACATCATCTTCCATTGCCGAAGGCCAGTTCCAATACTGATAACAGAGGTACAGAGGAAGGTAAATGTTCCCAGGTGTCGTTCTTGCCCCCCCCCGAATATCAATCGGTTACACAGGCTGCGGCCCCACCAAACGAGACCTATCCCATGATGCATTGCCTCCCAAGTTTGTTCTTGGGGGGCGAATTAGCAAGACCAGTCTTGCCAAGACCACAAGTATGATCTTTGTATTCTTACTATTGAGAAACACTGATTCTGTAAGAATGGAGTAGTCTCTCCCTAGATGTGACACACACACATTTCCTCTAACGTCATGGGAAATTTAAGGGGAAAACCAGCCGGGTTATAACACAGCGCCTCCATTATCCTACTGCTCCAGTTTCTCTGGGTTTTTCTCACTGCAGATTTTGTTGTTTGTTTTTAATGAAAATGTTCTATTAAGGGTGCTACTGGGTATGTTCCTCCGATCCGATTTAGAACTTTACAATGTGAACATAGTTCCATTTTTGGAACTTCCCAGGTTACACAATATGCAAAAAAAAAAAAGTGTTTTTAAGCATATAAATAGTCAGGTTCCATAATTAGATTCGATAATGCTGAAATTGGAATTTCCAGGGGACATTGCAGTAATGCTTCTCTGACTACAATAAATAATAGAAAAAAATATGGTCGCTTGCATTTTGCTGTCAGAATAGAGCTCATTAATGGTGACCAGTTCATTTCTCTTTGGGACAAAAGTATTGCCTTATTCATGCAGTGAATTGGATGCAGTCCTTTTCCGTAACAGACCGGTCACATGACTGACTGGTCGTTCAATAGACAGGTTATCTGACACCATGTCAGATAAACAGCAGACATATGAGGCTTCTGCAGCTGAACTAACCTAAGGAAAGACGCAGTTAGATTGGCAGACACACTGCCGGATGGTTACATTTTATATCATTTTGGAAACGGGTGACATTTTAATGCAGTATTGTAATTGTGAAAAACCTTTGTCATACAGCTTCCTAATTACTTGAAATAATCATTAAGATAACTGCAGCCCTGATCATTAAACATAACTGTAACATTAATTTCAGCTTGGGCTCATCTGCTGAAAGCCATTGAATGAATCTGAATAATCGTGGTGATGTTACACTGACATTGAGAGTAACGGTCATACTGCTAACTTTACTCTTATTATTTTTAATTCTGAGTAATGACCGTTTCTCACTTCTGAGTTTATAAACCCCTTCAGTAAGTTTGCCTGTCAGAAATTGGTTGTGTTCACAGAGAAACACAGTAGTAATACCCTCAAAGTAACTGTAGTCCTTACAAAAAAGGACTTTAAATGGGTTTGTTTGTTGTCTAAAGTGCCTTGGATATGTACGGCCTGCCAGAGAGGGTGGATAATCATCACAGAAGCATAGAGGTGACCTTTATCACTGATGGGGCAAAGCAGCTAGACTGGGCCAGTCGTAATGATATCAGGTCCAGTGGAACCTGCCCCCATTGGCTGATTTGTCCCTAGGCAGATTTAGGGAGGGCTTGAGGTGGGGGGGGGGCAGCCCTTATCCTGGAGTGCTGGCATCCAGCAGGTTTTCCATCATCCCTCATCTCTGATGAATCACTCCTGGTCTCAGACAGATAGTAACTCATCAGGTAGGATGGGAAATCCGGCAGTTCGGGATCAGGGTTGCATACATGGGAATTTTTGTTGCCAGATCATTGCCAAGTGCAAACTGGCAATTACATACTCAGGGCAATTTAGAGAGATCAGTCGGCAAGAATATGCATGCACAGTGTTTCTCACAGAAGACATAATAACAACAAGAATAATCAACAATGGAATAAGCAATTATAGTTCGGAATCTCTTGGTAACATTAATCAGATAATTTGTTCATTTGTGAGTTACACCACTAGAGGGCTGCACACCCTTACATTTGCCACACTGTGTAACGTCTGTGTAACGTCTGTGTCTGTGTGTGTCTGTGTGTGTGTCCCTGTCATTGTGACATTAAAGGACAACTTCCACTCAAATTATCATGTGTTTGTATAATAACCATTTTATCTAAACTTTTATATACACCATCTAGTATAGGATTTCCACATTTCACTTATTTAGATAAACCTGTCACCTGCAGATATGACGCATGTTGTTTTATTATCTACCAGTCAGCTGAATCCAGAGGGGTTTACAAGTGTTCATCCACTCACAATGAGCCTGGAGTCCATCACAGGGTACGGGGCCGGGGCTTGGGTACACCCTGGACAGGATGCCAGTCCATTACAGGGCACAGGGCTGGGGTACACCCTGGATGGGATGCCAGTCCATCACGGGGCACGGGGCTGGGGTACACCCTGGATTGGATGCCAGTCCATCACAGGGCACGGGGCTGGGGTACACCCTGGATTAGATGCCAGTCCATCACAGGGCACGGGGCCGGGGTACACCCTGGACGGGATGCCAGTCCATCACAGGGCACGGGGCTGGGGTACACCCTGGATTAGATGCCAGTCCATCACAGGGCACGGGGCTGGGGTACACCCTGGACGGGATGCCAGTCCATCACAGGGCACGGGGCTGGGGTACACCCTGGACGGGATGCCAGTCCATCACAGGGCACGGGCTGGGG